AAATTAATAGAATGAAGGACAAAAAACATATGCCTATTTCAGTAAAGGCAGAAAAAGCTTTTGACAAAAACCAACACTCTTTCATGATATGATACTCACAAATTAAGAATAGAGAACTTTTGACAAAGTGTGCCATGAAAATCCCATGACTAAAAGATTGACTACCTCTCCTTAGATTAGGAACAAGGAAAAAATGCTCACTCCTGCCACTTCTATATAATAGTGGACTAGACTTTCAAGCCAGATTTATTAGATAAGGAAAAAATAAAAGGCACTCAAATTGTAAAGGGAGAAAAAAATTTTCTCTCTCTGCATGTGTAACCTTGTATATAGATGTCATGTACAGTATAATCTTATATATAGATAATCCTAAAGAATTCAGTGAAAAACTATTAGGACTAAAAAATGAGTTCAGCAGGGTAGCCTGGTATAAGAACACTACATAAAAATCAATTTTTGTATTTCTATATATAAAATAACACAATTTTATTTTAGCATCAAAAATAAAATACTTACAGATAAATTTAACAAAGAAAGACAAGACTTACACACTGAAAATTACAAAACATTGTGGGAAAGGAGAGGATCTAAATAAATGGAAAGATTTCCATGTTCATGGATTGGAAGACTTCATGTTGTTAAGATGACAGTATTACCCAAATTGATCTACAGGTTCAACACAATTCCTATTAAAATCTCAACTGGCTTTTCTGCAAAAGTTGACAAGTTCATTGTAAAATTCATATGGAAATGCGAGGGAACTAGAATAACCAAAAGAATTGTTAAAAAGAAGAACAAAATTGGAAGACTCACACTTCCAAGTCTCTAAACTTACTACAAATCTACATTTAAGAACACACAATGGGATAGAATTGGCAGTCCAGATGTAAACTCATACATATATGTATATAGTCAATCAATTGTTGACAACGGTGGCAACACAATTCAATGGGGGAAAGAATCATCTTTGCAACAAATGGTGCTAGAACTACTAAGGTTCACATGCAAAGGAATAAAGTTGGAAATGCTACATCACTCCATACATAAAAGTTAACTCAAAATATATCACTGACCTAAATGTAAGAGCTAAAACCATAAAACTCTTAGAAGAAAACATAGACCAAAATCTTTCTGGCCTGGTTAGGTGATGGTTTCTTGGATATAACACCAAAACCACAAATAACAAAAGAAAAAATAGCTAGTGTATCATTGAAACTTAAAAACTCTGAGCTACTAATCATACTATAAGATGAAAAGACAATCCAGAGAAAGGTAGAAAATATTTGCAAATCCTATGTCTGCCAAGAGACTGGCATCTAATGTACAAAGAACTCTTAAAACCCAGGAAGTCAAATTATTCAATTAAAATTACACCAAGATGGGCGGTGCCTGTGGCTCAAGGAGTAGGGTGCTGGCCCCATATGCCAAGGGTGGCAGGTTCAAAATCCAGCCCCGGTGATAAAACTGCAACAACAACAACAAAAATTACACCAAGAATCTGAATAGATATTTTTCCAAACAAGATATACAAATGGCCCATAAGTACACGAAAAGATGTTCAGTGTCATCAGTAATGAAAAGCTACTAATGCAAAGTCAAAACCACAATGACATGCAACCTCACATCTAGGAGGATAACTTAAGTGTGGGTAAGCAGATGGACAACTGGAACCCTCACACACTGCTGGAGAAAATGTAAAATAGTGCAGCTGCTTTGGAAAACTGTTCGGCAGTTCTTAAAAGGTGAAGCATAGGCTCGGCGCCTATAGCTCAACTGGCTAAGGCGCCAGCCACGTACACCTAAGGTGGTGGGTTCAAATACCCAGCCCGGACCCGCCAAACAACAATGTCGGCTGCAACCAAAAAATAGCCGGGCGTTGTGGCGGGCACCTGTGGTCCCAGCTACTTGGGAGGCGGAGGCAGGAGACTCGCTTGAGCCCAGGAGTTGGAGGTTGCTGTGAGCTGTAATGCCACGGCACTCTACCCAGGGGGACAGCTTGAGGCTCTGTCTCAAAAAAAAAAAAAAAAAAGGTGAAGCATAGAATCACCTACCAGGAGACCTAGGTATTCTATTCCTAGACATATACCCAAGAGAAATGAAAAGGTATCTTCACAAACAATTTGTACATAAAAGTTCACAGCAGCATTATTTGTAATAGCCAAAAAATAGAAGTGAAGCAAATGCCCATCAACTGATAAACGGATAAATACAATGTGATATATCCATGCAGTGGAATATTATTTGGCAATAAAAGGAAATGAAGTATTGATTCATGCTACGGCATGGATGACTCTTGAAAGTAATATGCTGAGTGAAAGAAACCAGTCACAAAATGGCACATTACATGATTCCATTGACATGAAATGTTCTGAATATGCAAATCTATGGGGATAAAAAGTAGCTTAGTGTTTAACTAAGGTGGAGCTGTGTTGGGGGAATAGGGTGGGAATAGGGATTAATGCACAACACTGTGGATATCCTAAAAAACAATGAATTATACATCTTCAGTGAATGAATTCTATATTATATGAACTGTATGTCAATAAAACTGTTTTTTAAAAATAGAAAATAATGGATCTAACTGCATATTTTCAGAAATAATTATTAATGGCCTCCTTGAACCTGGGGAAACAGGTGCAGCCTAACCTGAAAGGTTCAAGAGAGCCTGAGGTCAAAACAGGCAGAAGCAAGCTAACTTCTGGTCTATACTGCAGATTTTTATAAAAGCCCAAACTGAGCAGTAAGTATGAATTATTGAAGTCTGTGCTATTGATTCCTTAGTCTCAGATACATGTCCCCCACTAAGCATTGAGGATGAGAATTATCTTTAACACCTGTAATTCCCAGCAGCTTCTCCAGACTTCAACAACTAGCTGATGGCTAAAATCAAACCGAACAAGGATATTCACACCATTTGCAAAGCCAGAGTTAAACAGCTAACAAGGAGTGAACAAAATACTTGGAGTAGTAGAAGATCTGACAGTTCTCAGACTCAGGGAAGAATACAGACGTGAGCATAAAACTCAGCAAATGTTATTTTGTTTTTGTTTTTGTTTAGAATCTGATAGCAAACCTTCAGGGAAATGGAATAATGCTAATAGACTTAAGAGATCCTACCTTGAGGAAACTCTCGTGCATTTTCATAACATAGAACCTAAGCCATAAGTACTAGCATACCTTACCAGACAAAACAGAAAACCCTCCACTCCTGAGGTATGGTTTGGTCATTACAACCTATGCAAATTTTAACCCATGAAACCAAGGACCTACAATTTCGGTACAACACCATTCCGTGACGTATTTCAAGCATAACATTTTGTTAAAATCATTTTTGATTTAAATAGACTGCACATTTCTTCATATAACTAGTCACTTTATTAGGAATGAGAGCAATCTGCCCATTTTTGCTGTATGAAGAAAGAGGCAGGGCATCATATTTTAGGATCCTACTTGCTTCTTAGATATTATTTATATAATATTCTTTGATTTTTTAAAGGCAAAATTTGCTTTTCTAATATTCACTCAAATAATATTTTGTGACAAGAGAACTCAGTTCAGGAGAGGGCTTGCTGTATACCTGACTGCGTTGCAGTCCTGATTTAATTCTGTCTTTGCCAGTGCAGAAATTTAAAAATAAAATTCTTCCTTGAAAGAAAAAGGGGGGGAAAAAGTCACATTGCTTTAAGTTTAGGCAAAGGGACCCAAGCCTCTTATTTGCACAAAACATTAACTCTAAAGTCCTAATCAAACCCCCCCAACCCCCAATCTCTCAAAAGCCATCAAGTCTTTTTGATGTTCAGAACCCTAACCATGTCATTAACAGTAAGGGGGGGGGGGGACTGTAATCTCTTCAGGATTCTGATTTCTCTCCTTTGCAGAGAGATCATTCTCCCCTAACATTAACATAAGCCTCAGCAGAGCTTGTGATATTTCAGAATGAATCTGTGCAACATACACAAACTCATTGGGGACAGGGTGGTGGTGGGCTGGGTGGGGCGTGAACCGACAGAATAGAATGCTATCTAGTCAGACATCCTGGGGCAGATTAAAAAACCTTCCTCAGTGCCCTGTCATTTCCTTTCAGCAAGATCCTGTTGATGTTTGCACAACTCAAAAAAAAGTATCAAATATCTCAATGAACAACACAAATATTTCCTTTGAGATTTTTTTTTTAAGTTGCTGATGGAAAAATATCAAAATAGTACCTTTTAAACTTATTTCATTATCCGATGACAAGTAAAGTCACCAAACAGTTGTTTTTCCTTACACTGTTGGGGAAATGCCAGTCGTACCTTCCTTCCTTTTTTTTTTCTTTTTGTTTAAGAAAATGGAAAAAAGTAAACTTTTAAAACAGCATTGTAACTCAGAAACGTTAACACGTTTCCATAAAACAAACTCTAGCCCCCAACAACTAAGCTCTTGGGCTCTGTTTCCCTAACGTTTTGTAGCTTCTGTGTCTAACATAAACAAGACAAGTATCATTTGAAACAATTACACGTTTTTTTGGTAGTTATTAAGTATTCAGCGTACTGCCAGGATAAGAGAAGGCAATCAGCACTTCTCCGAATAACAAATCATAAATCAGTTGACAAGCCTGAAAGAATTTCAGTTCTAGTCTGTTCAGAAGCCAAGTGTAAATACAGAAAAACCTGTTGGCATGTTTCTCTTGCTCTCTAAGTTTCGCGTTTTTAAAAACAGAGTAATACGCAAATGGCGTTTCCCGTAAGTTTCTGGCTCCGAAGTAATTTGGAGAAAAACCACGGAGAGGCATCGCGCACAGAAAATGGAGCCTGCGCCTTTAAGGTAAAATCGGCTGGATCCCAAAAGGCATTCCACTCTCACGACAAAGAGTTTGGCGAGCGCTACCTCTGGGGTTTCTCCGAGGGACTTGGCGGGTCCGAGCGGAACCCGGCGAGTCGACGAGCCCCGGCCTGTCCCAGGGGCCCACAGCTTGCCCCGCGCCCGCGCGGCGGGAGCGCATCGCGCGCGCCCGGACTCACCGCTGCCGGGCTGCGGGGACAGCGTAGAGACCGAGGTCTGGCCCATGGCTAGGGTCGCAGGGCCAGGTCCAGCGATCACGAGGCTCTTTTGGTCCTTCGATCATGGGTCCGCTCCCAGCCAGATTTCCAGGCGTTCATTTCCCGGCCTCTGCGCAGCTGCCCGCCCGGTCCCCTCACCTTCTCCCCTGCGCGGGTCTCCCAGCCCTGCCGGCCGTAGCCGGCGCGGCGGATCCTGCCCAGCGGATGCCTGTCATTCCTCTATGCAGATTAGCTGGGGTCAGAGGTCACGGGGAGGAAGAAGGGGGGCGACGGCGATAGGGAGGGGAAGAGGGGAACAAGGGGATGGGCGAAGGAGCAGGGGGCAGGGGATGCGGGGATGCCCAGGGTGGACCAGCCTCACCCCCCAGGGCTGGCAGACTGGCACCCCTCACCCCCAGGGTAGTAGAGAGTTCAGGCTTTCCCGCTAACTCCTCTTGAAGATAAAAGGTTCAAGGTCAAATGATCCTTTAGGGCTAAAAGAATAGGAATTAAAGTACTTAGTCACGGTACTTAATTTAAGAAAACCTGTTTCTTTAAAGTTAGTTCCTTCCATTCTGTTTGCAGTACTCTAGCCCTTTAGATGTCTGTTATGCAAGCGGATTTTTAAAAACCAACATTAATGGCCTCAATCAGGTTGGACAACAAATCTAAATGATGGATCCATGTGTGAGATCAACAACACGGTATACACTTCCTGTCTCCCACCTGAAACTTAGGGACGTTCACCTCTCCTACATTTCAAAAGAATCACTGTGAAGTCAGGTGTTTAAAATATACAAAAGGTGAAAACAACAACAAACCCTGAAAGTAGAATTAAGCTCTAGTATAATATCTATTAAATTTCTATCTTCTTAAAAATATGAATACCAATAAATTTGGTATTTACAAATATGATGAGTAATCCACATGCACTAACTATGTATGCGGTATCTGCAACATACATCATATACATACCGTGCATCAGATTGGATTGGTGGTTTCTGGTTTATGAAAATCCTTTGAGCTATCAACACTGATTGGTGCACTTTTCTGAATGTACATATTTCAACATTAAAAAGTAAAAAAAGAAAAGTGTAATGTATGTAGGTCACTTACCATAACGTCATTTTCAGTTTATCCTAGCCAGTCAACTCTGAACTACCATGAAAATCACTTTTTCCCTAAAGTTTGTTTCATTAAGATCATGCAGAACCTTGTTTTATTATTTTTTGAAAGACACTTGCTTATCTATTTCATCATAGTTAAGTAAGTTGCCCTATTTTTTTTTTCACACCCAAATAACTCAAGCTCCATTGTGGGCAAGATCTTTTCCCTAGAAAACTATGATCGATATCTACTTCCTTTTGTTTAATTCACTCTTAAGAAACCCTGATTTTTTTTTTAATGAAACTGAGGATTTAACCAAAATAGGACTTTCTATTAGTACATGAAATTAATCATAACTAAATTTCCTTCTAAATATAAAAATGTGTTTGGGGAACACATCCCACTTGGGAAGATAAAAAGTGAGGGTAAGCAGTAATGATGCCTGGCTCTACCGTTTTTCTTTAAGTTGCCTTTAAGAAACAAATGAAAATGTTTGAATTTAAGTTGAGTGGGGCAACTGTCTCACTCTTGCTCCTGTTGACAGAACCTAACTGACAACGGAGGTCACTGATTAGAGGAAATATACATTTTGCTAATTATAAAGATGTAAGTAAAAAAAAAAATTTAAATCAATAAAAGTTGAGCCTTGAGGTTGCTACCACCTATCATTACTTTTCCTTGAGAAATGAAAGTTTTTTTTTATTTCTTCTATGAATTATTCTTTCAAACATCCAGGGGGCTGCTCTATAGTTCCCGTTTTCCAGGATTTGCTTAATACATCTGTATTTACCTTATTCAAGACCTTTCATGATTTGCTAGACTCTTTAGCCGCATCTAGGATTCTTGTAATCCCCTGATCAGGTTACATGACTTTCTCTGAAACTCTTCCAGTTCTCTTACATTATCCTTGAAGCATGTCAACCAAAACTGCAGAAAGTATACACGAAGGTTTCTTTCTAAGGGTGGGACAGTTATTCCACACTGTTTCCAGAGCTTCTGGGGGTGGGGCTTGGCATCTAAGCGGCTTTTAAAAATCACAGCTAGCAAGTTATACCAATGAACAGAAAAAATCTGCATAACCCCCTAAATTTTATTTCTAGGCCATAACGTAAATGTTAGAAATTATCATTTAGCAAGGATATTTTAAGATAACTCTCTCCCCCAAATTGCCTCACTCTTGCCTTATTAGAATTCACACCATTTTACTAAGAGTTCTGGGTATTAATCCCAGGGGCTTACAGTTTTAACTCTGGAAATATTTAAAGTCATCTGAGAAATATGGACATTTCTCTGTGCTCTACCTCTTTCCAGGGGATTCGTAGAATTGCTGAATAAGATGAGTGCCAATACTTAACTCTGAGGAAGTCATCTATGCTGCATTTATCATTCTGTAGCATTTATCCTTTGGATCCTACCCTTTGTTCTGTATTTCTAAACCAATCCCTTATCCAGAGATATCCTGCTGAATGCTTAACAACTGGTTTGGGCTGGGGGTTGTGGCCCAGGGTAAGGCCTCAGACTGATTTATAATTTGTACTGTTTTCCATTTTCTGTGATGTGAATTCTCTTATAATGGCTGATTCTACAACCTACCAACCAGCTAGCAAAATCGATGTTCACTGGCTTGCAAAATTCCTTGAAATTTGACCATTTAGCTTACAAGGCTGTGAGTACAGCCTTCAGCACACCACTACTTTTCTCTGTCATAATGCACTCCCATTAACTCATACCATGACTGAATTTGAGAAGAGCTTATATTAAACCTTGCAAAAATGGACACTGATGGGATCGACTGCTTTTTCCACTGAACAGCCTAAATATGTTTCAACCCTTAAAAAAACTTAAGTGATTTATTCATTTACTTCTGGTAAGAAATTAAATTGAGTGGATTATTAAAATAGACTTTCTCCTTCTGGAAACCGGTGTGCCTTTATGACAAGGAAGTTGTACTTAGGAGATTTTGAAGCATTCTACCCTATAACACAGATTTCACTGGCTTGTCTGATGTGGGAGTTCTTAAGCTCACCTATCTGAGGTACCCAAAGTGACACTTGCACTTGGCATGAATGGAAGCCACTATTATCTATTAGATAAAAGTTAAAGCAAATGTAAGCCTAAAATGTTAGCAATCTAGGCTATTTGTGGGAAAGTCCTTTACTACTAGGTCAAAGTCCAAATTGCAGGCATACAATTTAGTGGCTAGAGTGTTAATAGTTACTGCAAGTGCTACTACCAAATCCTGTAATTTAGGTCACTGCCAGACTTTTCTGGGCAGCCAAATCTAAGCTTGGACTGGGAAGAGTGAACTTTCCTCCCTCAGAACACAAAGACCGTGAATACTCACCCTGGGTCTCTGCCTTGTCCAGATGCCACCAGCTCTGCTACAACCCATCTCGAGTCGCCCGCAGTTGGGGCTCGAGGAACCATGGAGGGAGGGGAGAGTTTGGCAGAGTCCCAAGAGATGAAATGGTTGATCAGAACAGCAGTAACCTGGGAAGCAGCAGTGGTTGCAACTGACCAGGTACTCGTAGATGAAGATGTTGTTAACTGACCCTCTTATTTCTGGATTTGGCCATCAAGATCCTGCGAATTAGTGACATTTCCTTCAATAATGGGAATTGTAACCATACAAAACCCCTTAGTTAATGGGAAGGAAATGAATTAAAACTTAGTAGACACTAAAACTGGTAGAGGAAAATGCTATAAATATTCACTTATTCAGATGTTTACTAGAAAAATCTTCCAGTTTTAGAAAACTTTGTATTCCTTCAAAACTTGGCTCCCTGTTGGAAGAGGCAGCTTACTAGGAGATTTATAACTACTACAAAGCAGAGGGAAGTTTTACTGGATAGGATACTTTCAGTTACAACTCTAGATAAGTAACTAGTATTTATTTTTTAAGAATTACTCTCTAGCAATTGCAACTAAATGGTTCCTATAGCTTTGATTCTGACAATTCTGAGAGAGCTATTAGTTCTCACATGATAATACTAACAGAGGAGGACTTTTGTTGAGAATTACAACTTTGGACATTCTAGTTATATTTAGCAGCAGGAGAAGAGAAGCCCACATTCTACAAGTATTAGAACAGGAAACAAACCTGTAAGACAGGCTTTTCTTTCCTATTGTTCTCATATTTTTATATGATTTATTTCCTGAGTTTTCCTTCTTCTGCTTGCTCAAGCTGAAAGGATTAACAAAATACCTTGCCTCTGCCTCACCCTGCGTGAGTCTCTGCAGAGGGCAGGGTGTGACTCACGTGTGCTTGCTTAGTGCTTGAGATCAACAGTTGGAAGATTTACTCTGGAAAAGAAAGACCACAAGGGGTGGTGCTGGAATTTCCTTTTCCAAAGACATTGTCCCTAGTTTGTTGCACTTCATTTCATAAGCAAAGCAAATTACTCATCCATAGTGCTTGACATTCTGGTAACTGCCATAAAATTAATCCTTTTTCCTTTACTGCCCCCAAACTAGGGAGAAGAGTCCTTAAAGACATCTTTAATAATGACTGGTCAGTACACATAAAATAATTACTTCACGTAAGGTCAAAATCATTGTTTTGTTAACCATCACATCCATCCCTGGAAACTAACGAAATGTCTGGCATATGGAGGTCATTCAATAGATATATGACGAATAAAAAAATAAGCCTTTAAGTTAGCTCCTTCAGGACAGCAACTTCAAATGTTGACCAAAAAACACCACCAACTTCAAATATGGACAAAGAACACCAAAATACTTGTACGATTTGGGTAACAGTATGCTGAATCTATAGAAACAGACTATGGAGTCTCTTTCATATGCCACAGAATTAAATCATCATCAGATCACTCAACTAGAATCGACAGAGGATCTTTAAGGGATTTAGCACCTCTAGTACATGGGCCAGAGGGCAGATGAGGTAGAGACCTACTTGGGGGTTCACAGTGTGTGTGTGGTGGAGGGTGCGTGTGCAGCTTACAGAGGAATGATCCTGACAGTTGAGAAACAAATTCCTCCAAGTGTGAAGGATGGTCCAAGGAGAGCTCTGAGCTTTAGTAGTTCCTAAATCCACTTTCCCCAAGCAGAGTCGGTAATTCATTCTGAAGGTGCTTCAATATTGGAACGTGCTTTCTAAATT